TGTCTCCCTGTCACTCTTCGGCTGGCCTGTCTGACCTCCGGCTGGGCCTGGGCCCACGACCCTGTCATTGCCCCTCGCTCCGAACAGACAGGCCATGGTCAGGGTGTTTTTCTCTTGTAAACAAACACCAGCTGTTTAACAGGAATGCCAGCAAGTAACCTTTTAGGAAAGACAGGGCAGCGTTCAGGGCCTGTGGGTGGTGCTGGGAGGGTGCCCCCGCGGAGCGGCTGGCACACAGGCAAGCAGGCCGCCTCAGAGGGCAGCCCCGGGCCTGGTGCCTGGTGTTCAGTGTGAGGGTTGGGCCCCAGCTTTGTATCTGATTCTTAGGCAGGAGGGTGTCAGGTCCTGGACAAGGCCTCACCACCATCTCCCTTCTGCACCAGGTGGCCCAAGGTGAGCCAGGGGCGTCTGCTCTCCACTCCCCTAACCGGATGCAGAGAGCAGATTCCAAATCCCTTTTGGAGAACCAGCCAGTCTGAGGGGAAGTGGGAGGTCAGAGGTGAGAATCCTCTGAAGATTGTGAAATACTGATTTTCATTCTTTTGAGCTTATTTGTAAATACCTATTTGAATGCTGTGTATTTGTACAGGAATTTGAGCAAAAAATGTATAGAGTGTGATGTCCAATTGGTGTTCAGCCCTATAAATGTGTTTTTAACCTCTGGCATTCTGTGCTTATTTAAATTAGAACACTTCTCACCATTTCTTTTGTGTATTTATGTTTAAAAAGGGGGGGAGGGGTGACTTTAAAATTATCTGTACCAGAGAGCAAAGTTAAAAGAAAAAAATGTGTACTGGTGTCCCAAGAGGTACTTTACTGTATATATTTGGTCGCATGTTCTGAAGCTACGAGTAATGTGACTTTCAGATGTAAATACCTGCCCGACCGCCCTTCCCCGCTCCCCGATTGCTGTGATTGAATTAAAGATGAATACCTGACGCTGACCCACTGCGTTCACTGGCGGGAGCAGCCGCTGGGCTCCGGGCCTGGCCCCTTAGAAGCCCTTCTGCCCGGCGCAGAGCGGCCTGTCCCGCGTCCAAGGGCGGGCGCCAAGGGGAAGCCTCCGCCGCGCTGGTCCGGGTCCCGCACCCGCCACCTCGGCCAGGCTTCGGGGCTCGGCCTCCCCGCCCACGGCCAGGCGGCGGGCAGCTCGCCCCTCCTAGGGGAGCCTCGGCCGCGCACGGCTGCGGGGAAATTCGGACCCGGCCTGCGGGCCCGCACGCGCCGGCTCCCCGCAGAGGCGGCTGCCCGCCCACGGATCGCTGAGGAGAGAGCACCTCGCAGCCTTGCCGGCGGCGGCCGCCCTCCCTGCCAGCCTCGCCGGGTCGCGACTAACCCCGAAGCCCTGGGCGGGGAGGCCCAGGGGGTTTCTGGGCGGGCGCGGGGCCCAGAACGGGGAAACGGAACGGTTCAGCAGGCGCCGGACGGCGGCCGACGCCACTGGAGCCCAAGGCGCCCCGCCTCTTCCACAACCGCTGCCCCTACCCAAGATGGCGGCCGTGCCGTTTCCGCCGCCGCCGCCGCCGCCCCCGCTTCCGGCGGCCGCCCTGCTTCAATCAGCGGCCGACAACTGTCGAGAGCCGGGGGCGGTGCCGCCACCAGCCAATGGGGAAGGGCAGCGTGGAGCCGCCCGTCTGGGCTCTGGCCGGCGTGGTCCAATGGGGGCGCGGCGTGTGGGAGGGCGCGGGGCTGCCCGCCAATGGGGAGCTGCGGCGTGCGGCCGGAACCTGGAGGCCGCGGCGGGCGCGGTTCAGTCGGGCGGCGGCGGCGGCGGCGGCGGAGGAGGATGTGGGCCACGCACGGACTGGCGGTGGCGCTGGCTCTGAGCGTGCTGCCGGGCGGCCGGGCGCTGCGGCCGGGCGACTGCGAAGGTACGGCGGGGCGGGCGGGCCTGACTCGACGCGGGGGGGCCGGAATTAGCGGCGGCGGCGGCCTGTCCCAGCGGGATCTGCCCGAAGAGGGGCCGGAACGGGCGGCGGCGGCCTGTCCCAGCGGGATCTGCCCGAAGAGGGGCCGGGGCCGGGCATAGAAAACATCACGTGGGGCGAGAAAAAGTTAGGACCCGGTGGTACCGAGAACGGCCTGACATGGGCACATCGCGGAGCTTTCATCCGTCCCCGCCCCTGGGCAGCGGCTCTCGGAGGGCGGCCGGCACCTCGGGGCCGGTGTGTGTGGAAATCAGCAGCATCTGGCTCGTCTGCCCTTCGGCCGCCGGTTTGCCCGTTTGTGAGGTCACAGTGAGGCCATCTCCGGGCCGCGTTCAGTCTGGGTCAGACTTCATGGAAGGAAGAGGGAGGAGCTGTTTGTGGGCATTGGGTGTCCCGGGGACCCCGCCCGCGTTCTGCCGGACTGTGAGCCCCGGAGCAAAACGGGCGCCGGGAAATTCGCCTCCCGCTGCCTCCTCCGGTGCCGCTGGGCGGTGGCTGAGCATCCTCTCCCTTCTCTCTTTTCCAGTTTGTGTTTCTTACCTGGGAAGATTTTACCAGGACCTCAAAGACAGAGATGTCACCTTCTCACCGGCCTCTATCGAAAAAGAACTTGTAAACTTCTGCCGTGAAGCAAGAGGCAAAGAGAATCGGTTGGTGAGTAGCTGGTGACCCCTCCCCGCAGGCCCGGGCGGAGGCCCGACTGAGTCCGGGGTGAACTCATACCCGACTGACCTGCCTTCTCTGCGGTTGTCACATGTTTTGTCCGGTTACTGGGACTCCCCGGGGAGGAGAGTGACAGGCAAGGGAAGGACGCAGGGTGGGTGGTGGGGTGGAGAGGGGAAGGGTCATGGGTGGGCGAAGAGCATCCCAGGCCGAGGGAACGGCCAGTGGGAGTGCCCAGAGGCCAGAACGAGCTCGGCATGAGCGAGGACAGAGGTACCATGTGCACAGGGTGGGCTGGGGCCCCATGGAGGCCAGGAGCCCCAGTGAGGCGTGTCTTTTGTAGCTTTCATTTCCCTGGCAGTCTGGTTCTGTCTGTCTGTCTGTTTAAAGGATTGAACCCTGGTGGCTCTTAGCCTCATGTGGTGGCTGCCAGCTCTGGGACTGAGCGTGTCAGGACTCGGGGCTCCCACGGACCGCGTCTGACCGCCAGGACAGGCGTGGCCTGGGGAAAGGAGGCCGGGCAGAGAGGAGGCGCTCTGAGGCGGCAGGGCGTTCTCCTGAGGCCGTGTCCTTGCTGCAGTGCTACTACATTGGGGCCACGGATGACGCCGCCACCAAGATCATCAACGAGGTGTCCAAGCCGCTGGCCCACCACATCCCCGTGGAGAAAATCTGCGAGAAACTCAAGAAGAAAGACAGCCAGATCTGCGAGCTGAAGTACGGTGAGTGGTCGGGCCTACGCCACAGGCCTTCTGCGACTCGGTGCCAGCGTCGTGGGGTGACACACGAGAGCCCTCGTGTGTATGTGGCTGAACATGGCAGACGGTGCTAAGGGGGGTGCAGATCTGGCATCCTGATGGGTGGAGGTCAGAATAGGTATCATTGGGGTGACTTTTCAGCAAACTTTGTAGGAGGTGGGACATTAGCCAAGGGAATGGAAGAACATTCCAGACAGAGGAAGTAGGCAGGGCAGAGACAGCCAGTGTGGCATGACAGGTGGTGAGCTGGTCGCAGGGCGCCTTGCAGGTTGGTGAAGAAAGATCTGGCTGTTAATCTGGGCAAAGTTGGGGACATGGGTTTGAGGGCTGAGGAGGGGTGTGGTGTGGCCTTCCTTGGTTTAACGGGCTTTCCTGGCTGCAAGCGCTTTATAATTTTGAAAGGAAGTGCGTGCCCGGGCTGGCCAGGAGCTGCGGCTGCCGCGGCGTCTCCTGTGCGTAGGTCTTTGCTGGGAAAGAAGGGTCAGGACCAGGAAGAGTTGTTTTCTTCTGACGTTTCAGTGTCACCAACACATTTCATTGTGGTCTGAGTGTCCAAAGTCCTGTGTTCACCCACGTGTGTCAAGGACGCCTGGCCTTGGAGAGAGCCCCTGGGAGGTGCAGTTGGCGCCGGCCTCTCTCGGTCACAAGGAGTGGAGCGTGAGCTCCTGACTCGAGGCCTGACCAGGGCCTGTGCTGGGAAATGGGCTGGGGGATCTACCCGCTCTGTAGCCCTGAAACGGTCATTTTACGTAACTTGACCTCTACCATGACTATTCAAGAGGCGCTTGGGCGAGGGGGAGCCACATTCCTCCTGAAGGACTAGGCTGTGACCTCCATCCCTGTCCCTGGTGACACTGCATGTCTGGTGGACACTGCCAGCATGAGACCAGCCTTCCTGGTGAAGAGGCCAACCTCCCCCTTGGGGGCATGGGACCGCACACCTGTGTGTGTCTGGAACTGTCTCCCCATGACCAGTAGGGCCGCTTGTTTAAGGGGTGGGTTGGCTGTGCAGGGGATCCAGCCTGGGCCTGCTGGGGTCTGTGGCCGCCCCGCCCAGCTGGTAACTGTCCTGCTCTCCTCCAGACAAGCAGATCGACCTGAGCACGGTGGACCTGAAAAAGCTGCGAGTTAAAGAGCTAAAGAAGATCTTGGACGACTGGGGGGAGACATGCAAAGGCTGTGCAGAAAAGTCCGACTACATCCGGAAGATCCATGAACTGATGCCCAAGTACGCCCCCAAGGCGGCCAGCTCACGGACTGATTTGTAGTCGGCCCATCCCTGCGGCCCTTGAGGGAAAGAAACAGTTCAGCTGTGTCTTCCCCAAACAGCGTTTTGTAATTTATTTTTAGACCAGCTCCTGACAAGTCAGGTGTGGAGCCTGAGCCTGGAGCTCTCCTGATGGTGCTGGCTCTCCAGCACCCCTGTCGGGGGGTCACTTCCTTCTGTTGCTGGTTTTCTCTGGGACTTCAAAGTGTGTCTGGGATTTTTTTATTAAAGGAAGAAAACTTCTAGCTGTCCTTGGAGAATTGAACACTGAAATAGTGTCTCACCCCCATGAAGATCCCACCGACTTATGCTTTCTGGTTTACAGAGTTTCCAGGTCCATTCACGTTGGTACCCCGACGGGCATCAGTGCTGGAGATGCCAGGGTGGGATGTGGGCTGGGCTGGCGGGTTGTGCGGGGTGTGGGGGAGGCCCAGGAGGAAGCTGAGCTTAATTCCCACAGTGACTATCTTACCCTCGTGACAGGCTGGAGGCTGCCCAGCTTCTTGGGAGGCACAGGGGGTGGAGTCTGAAATACAAGGTAAGGGCTTACGTCCAGGCAGGGTGGTTTTCTGCGACGACGTCAGTAGCTGTTCAGCACAGTCACGTTTCTAAGATGCTCTTGACCTGGCTACTCTGCAGATCTGGCCATGTGCGCACTTGCTCATCGGAGTTGTGGTCTAGTGTCAGTACCAGCCTTAGGCCTCATGGGGCTTTTGCAAGACCAGGAGGGGGCGATTTGTCAGAAGAGCCCGTGAGGCTGCCCTTCGTCTTTCCCCGAGAGAAGTCGCAGTTGAGGTCCTCGGGGCTTGTCCCCACATCCGGTTTTTTAGTTGCTTTCTGGGGGGTTGGTGCTCAGAAACCCAGTTTTGGGCAGGAGCTGTGACTCAATGGAAACATCTGTTCTCGGACCCGCAGAGACCACCTGACAGGAAGGACAAGCAGTTCTTGCCAAGGACTTGCTCAGCCCTCAGACCTCCTGTGTGCAATTCCTGAGTTCGGTTTGCCTACATAAGGGCCTCGGTACTGCCCAGAGGGCTTGGCAGCGCCATGTCTGAGGACCACCAGAGGTTGAGCCACTTCTCAAGCCAAGACTTCCTTGATTGGGGGAACTAGGGGGCTCTTAAGATCTGACAAGCAGTGTCCTGAGCCCATAAAAAGTGCCGGGAAAATCCACGGTTGGAGCCAGAAGTCTTGGAAGATGGATCTGTCTCAGCCCCCTAGGTCTGTGTTCCCAGGGCTTCCGTGTCCACCAGGCCACCAGACAGGGAAGACTGCCCGCCCGAGGGCTGACCCCATGGTTGTGCAGGAGCAGGTTTCAGCAGGGCATGCAGTGCTACAGGTGTTTCTTATAAGGCCTTTCCCAGTGCACCTGTTCTGGCTGCTCCGGAGCTGCTGTCCAGTGCGGGAGGGGAGTGCGGTGGGCAGCCACGTTCCTGTGGCTTCAGTGGGCAGGTTCTGCGATGGGTCCAGCACCTCTCCCTGGCTCCCCGCACTTCACCTCGGAGAGGAGGCCCTGCCCCTGGAAGAGGCGGGTGGCAATCAGGTTAACTAGTGGACGTGGCCTTCCCTTCGCCCTGGCAGCCACCGTCTGGGGCCAAGGAGCCTATTCCCACCCCATCGATGGCAGGTTTGCCTCGGGTCCCTGCGCCTTGGCCTAGACAAGTCTCGCCTCCACATGAGTAGCCACGCCTCTGGGTGGGTGGGATGAGGAGCTGGGGGCGCCGCAGGTGAGCGGAGTTGTGAGTGGGTCCTGGGCCGGGCCTAGGCAGCGGCGTGCTCCAATCCTCGGGGTGGTCAGCCCTGAACCCCAGTCGGGAGACGCGTGGTGGGGCAGGAGGGCTACTGCGTAAAAGGGCCGCGGGTCCCGGCGCGCACAGAGGGAGGGTCGGGAGCGGTGCGAGCCGCGCTCCCGGGAGGACCGACTCCAGTGGAGCCCCAGCCTCACCTGCGTTGGCCACACGGTGGCGCCAAAGCACCGCCCGCCGGCCGCGGGGTCAGGTGGCCCTGGACGGCGCAGTCCGATGACGCACGCGCGGCGCCGCCTCGCCCCGCCCACCGCGGGTCACGTGGCGCAGTTGGCGCAGCCTGATAACGCGACGCCCAGCATTTGGGCGCCGCTCCCGCCCCGCCGCCGCGCCGAGTCCTTTTGTCCAAGATGGCGGCACCGGGGGCGCTGCCTCCTCGGCCGCCGCCGCCTCCGCCGCTTTGAGGGGCCTGCGGGCCGCCCGCCCGCCCGCCGCGCCGGCGCCATGAAGAGGCAGAGCGAGCGAGACTCGAGCCCGAGCGGGCGCGGCTCGTCGTCATCAGCTAAGCGGCCGCGGGAGCGCGAACGGGAGGCGGAGGCGGGCGGGCGGCGGGCGGCGCACAAGGCCTCCGGCGGCGCCAAGCACCCGGTTCCAACGCGGACCCGCGACAAACCCCGCGGCAGCGGAGGCGGCGGGAGTGGGCATCGCGACGGCCGCGGCGCCGGGGACGCCAATCACCGTGTGAGCAGCGGCCGCTCCTCGAGCTCAGGCGCCGGCGGCGGGGGACGCGGCGGCAAGGCCTCGGGGGACCCGGGAGCTTCAGGCGCTTCGCCTCGCTCGTCTCCGCTGCCACCACCTCCGCCACCGCCCGGGGCCGAGCCCGCGGGTCCCGGCTCGTCAGCGGCCGCGCCCGAGTACAAGACGCTGCTCATCAGCAGCCTCAGCCCCGCGCTGCCCGCCGAGCACCTCGAGGACCGGCTCTTCCACCAGTTCAAGCGCTTCGGCGAGATCAGCCTGCGCCTGTCGCACACGCCGGAGCTGGGCCGCGTCGCCTACGTGAACTTCCGGCACCCGCAGGACGCGCGCGAGGCCCGCCAGCACGCCCTGGCCCGCCAGCTGCTGCTCTACGACCGGCCGCTCAAGGTGGAGCCGGTGTACCTGCGCGGCGGCGGGAGCAGCCGGAGGAGCAGCAGCAGCAGCGCCGCCGCCTCCACGCCGCCCCCGGGGCCGCCCGCGCCCACCGACCCGCTCAGCTACCTGCCGCTGCACGGGGGCTACCAGTACAAGCAGCGCTCGCTGTCCCCCGTCGCTCCCCCGCCCCTGCGAGAGCCCCGGGCCCGCCACGCCGCCGCCGCCTTTGCCCTGGATGCTGCCGCCGCCGCCGTGGGACTGTCCCGGGAGCGGGCCCTGGACTACTACGGGCTGTACGACGACCGCGGGCGCCCCTACGGCTACCCGGCTGTGTGCGAGGAGGACCTGATGCCCGAGGACGACCAGCGGGCCACGCGCAACCTCTTCATCGGGAACCTGGACCACAGCGTGTCGGAGGTGGAGCTGCGACGGGCCTTCGAAAAGTACGGCATCATCGAGGAGGTGGTCATCAAGAGGCCCGCCCGTGGCCAGGGCGGTGCGTACGCCTTCCTCAAGTTCCAGAACCTAGACATGGCCCACAGGGCCAAGGTGGCCATGTCGGGCCGGGTGATTGGCCGCAACCCCATTAAGATCGGCTACGGCAAGGCCAATCCCACCACCCGGCTCTGGGTGGGGGGCCTGGGACCTAACACCTCACTGGCCGCTCTGGCCCGGGAGTTTGACCGCTTTGGGAGCATTCGGACCATCGATCATGTCAAAGGAGACAGCTTTGCCTACATCCAGTATGAGAGCCTGGACGCCGCCCAGGCCGCCTGCGCTAAAATGAGGGGCTTTCCCTTGGGTGGTCCAGACCGCAGGCTGCGGGTGGATTTTGCCAAAGCAGAGGAGACTCGGTATCCCCAGCAGTACCAGCCCTCCCCCCTCCCCGTGCACTACGACCTTCTCCCAGATGGGTATGCCCGGCACCGCAACCTGGACCCGGACCTGCGGGTGCGGGACAGAACCCCCCCGCACCTCCTGTACTCAGACCGAGACCGGACCTTCTTGGAAGGGGACTGGACAAGCCCTGGTAAGAGCTCTGACCGCAGGAACAGCCTGGAGGGCTACAGCCGCTCTGTGCGCAGCCGCAGCGGGGAGCGCTGGGGAGGAGACGGGGACCGGGGCCTGCCCAAGCCCTGGGAGGAGAGGCGGAAGCGGAGGAGCCTGTCCAGTGACCGTGGGAGGACAACCCACTCCCCTTACGAGGAACGGAGCAGGACCAAGGGTGGTGGGCAGCAGGCCGACCGAGGCTCCGACCGCACCCCTGAGCGCAGCCGCAAGGAAAACCACTCCAACGAGGGGACCAAGGAGTCGGGCAGCAACTCCCTCAGCAACAGCAGGCACGGGGCTGAGGAGCGGGGCCACCACCACCACCACCACGAGGCTCCAGACGCTGCCCACGGGAAGAAGACCCGTGAGAGCGAGCGCAACCATCGGACCACAGAGGCTGAGCCAAAGCCTCTCGAAGAGCCAAAACATGAGACCAAAAAGCTCAAGAACCTCTCGGAGTACGCGCAGACGCTGCCGCTGGGCTGGAGCGGGCTGCTGGTGTTGAAGAACAGCTGCTTCCCCACATCTATGCACGTCCTCGAGGGGGACCAGGGCGTGATCAGCGGGCTCCTCAAAGACCACTCTTCCGGGAGTAAGCTGACTCAGCTGAAGATTGCGCAGCGCCTCCGACTGGACCAGCCCAAGCTCGACGAGGTCACACGACGCATCAAGCAGGGGAGCCCCAATGGCTACGCAGTGCTGCTGGCCACGCAGGCCGCCCCCAGCGGGCCTGGCACTGAGGGGATGCCCCTGGTGGAGCCAGGCCTACAGAGGCGGCTTCTCAGGAACCTGGTCTCCTACTTGAAACAGAAGCAGGCGGCCGGTGTGATCAGCCTGCCGGTGGGTGGGTCCAAGGGCAGAGACAGCACGGGCATGCTCTACGCCTTCCCGCCCTGCGACTTCTCGCAGCAGTACCTCCAGGCGGCACTGAGGACCTTGGGCAAGCTGGAGGAGGAGCACATGGTGATCGTTATAGTGAGGGACACTGCCTAGCCCGGACGCCTCCCAGCGCCACTTGTGTCACGAAAGCAGTCATTTTAGAACCTGATCCGCTGCCTCAGTCCTACCCCCTCGGTTTGACTTTTCTGCTGGGTTGTTTTGGTTCATTAGGTGGGAGACCAAAGTCCTGTCCCCACCAAAACTGAGTTCTTAGGTTTTGGGGATTTTTTTCCCGTGATGAGAAGGGACTCCTGTCATGTTGGTTTCTAGTGTACGAGATACTGTCTGCTGTGTTCTGTATTTTTTTTACTTTTTGACTAACTGTATGGAAAGTTGTCAGTAAAGCCTTTGTCAGAGGATGGATTTTTAATCCTGTTCAGAGTCCTGGTTTAATCAAGTTTTTTTCCCCTCAAAGATGGAAGACCTTTCCCACAAAATGCCCGTCATCTTTCTGGCACCGGTATATCGCCAAGTCCTGCTGCGTTGGTGGTTCTCAGTCCCTCAACTCCTTGGGCTGAGTCAGAACTGGCTTCACAGTGGTTTTCCGTCTTGGCCGAGAGCAGGCAGCTGAGCAGAGCTCATGCAGAGGAGGGGGTGTGCCTCGGGTCCATAGGGAGCAGCTGCGGTAGTTTTTGGTTTGGGTTGTTCGGCCCTAAACAGCTGGTGTGCCCGTCAGTTTGAGCTGTAGCTGTTGGACAGAGCACCCCGTCTCCAGGCCTTTTCGGAAGCAGGTGGTCTTTGGCAGCTGTGTGATCTTAATGTTGCTGCCCAAGGGTCTTGGTGCTACAGATCCGTGCGGACTCCCTCTTGTTCAGCCTCCCTTCTCGCCGTGATGCGGCCACCCAGGGACACCCGGTTGGACACGGAGCTGTCAGACTCCCGGGGACACTAGAGGCCACGTGCTGGAGTGGAGGGTGGGAGGCAGCTGTGCTTGCTTGTTGAACTTGTGAATCCCAGCGCTCCCTCGGGTCGCTCAGAACTGATGTGTCATGTGGAGGTCTGTGCCGAGTCCCTAGAGCTTTGTGGGGGACACTGAAGATTTTTGTGATGCTGCCATGGAGGCGGCAGGTGAGGAAGATGCTGTGACCAAACTCTCCCAGGTGCAAGGTGAGTGAGCCTAGGCCTCTTGCCCAGATACTGAGGAGGTGGAGACCCTGGGAGATGGTGCTCTATGGGGAACCGTCAGCCTCGGGGTGCTGGGCGTGCTGGAGCTCGGCGCCATTCAAGCCGGGCTGGAGGGGCATGGAGGCGCTCGAGCTGGGAGGGGAGAGCGCTTGAAGCATCAAGTTGTCATCACGTCTGTCTGATGAGAGTATGGCCAGCGCTGGCCACTGTCCCACAGCGGTTGTCATGGGGGAACACAGCCCAAACACCATGACATGTTCGTGTGGAGGTTGGGATGTTCCAAAAGGGTCATTGTCAGGGATGAGGGAAAAGGGAAGCTCCAGTGAGAGAAATGAGCCCCCAAGTGACCAGGGACTTTGGGCCCAATGGCCAGGCCATGCTGGCAGGTCTGGCACTACCCTAGCTGGCTCTCGGCAGGGCAGTGCAGGGGACTGCTGGGTGGTTTTGAGGGACAGTCATGAGGGCCTGGGGATGCCTGTCCACAAAGACAGTGAAGGAGGTGTCTGAGACCTTGAGATTTAAAAGAAAGAGGGAGGTGCCTGGGAAGCCAGCTCACAGGAGAGTAAGCAAGTTTGTAACAAAACATTCGCACCAAGAAAGAAGTGGGCAACATGTTTATTTGCCTGTTGTGCTGGAGCGAGGGGAGGGGCAGGGAAGGGCTGGCCCCACCGCAGGTCTCACACATGCCGCTCAGCCAGAGCAGCAGCGGGGTGCCTGCCGAGTGGGCGCTCAGGACCCAGAACACCGCCTCCGGCCCTCCCCCAACAGACGCCTGGGAGATCTGGCTGGAGACACTGCAGCCTCGCCTTGTCCCCCTTCAGGGCTACATACGTGTTCTCTGGTCCCCACAAGAACTAGAGTGTTGGTGATGAGCCACAGCCTGTGTGTGACCTCCCTCCTGCTCCTCAGACCCTCTTCTCAACACTTCCTTCAACTCTTAACACACAACAGGTGCCGTGACCTGTCAGGGCCGGCAGCAGGAACCAGTGAGGCGGCTCAGGTGGGCCAGGCCCGAGAGGAACGGCAACTGCAGGTGCCAGCGCCTAACCGGTCCTCTCTCTCAGGTGCTGCTTAAAGGCAAAACCCACAGGAGGCAACACTTGCCCCCGGTTTCCTCCTACGTGACTCAAGGGGATGAGGGCTGATGCCTCCGAGGCCTCTCGGGGCGCTCCCCTGAGGGTGTGTTGTCAAGGCAACCAGAATTCGGCGGAGGCCCCCTCTCCCCCCGAGAGCCCGGGTGCTCCCAAGAGCTCCTGCCACAGTTCAGGGAAGCAGTGGCTCCGATAATGACTAGAAGAATATAGTGCTTTTGCTGTTTCTTTACTTTTAACCCGTTTTCTTCTAATCCATTCAGCACCAGCAAACTATTCTACTGGTTAGTGTTAGCGACCTATTTAAGCTGAGGCATGACGCACCTTAGGAGCCGAGACCTCTGCTCTCTAGAGGACCAAGAGGTACCTGAGCGACACAGGCGCTTCGGTGTGTGACAGCTTGTGTGGTGCTCCGAGCCCAGCAGGGCCTCACCAGCCCCTGGTGAGTTTAGCTGTCTGTCTTGCTTGTTTACTTCACAACCAAATGTGTCCCCTCTTCTCTGAGCTACGTACCTACATGATAGAAACCAAGAAGCTGTTACTTGGGCAAACTCAAAGGAAGAACGGCATCAGGGTCTCTCATGGTGGGGGGGTGGGAGTGGGGGGGTGGGGGGAGTGTAAAGTTAAGCTCCTGGTATGTCCTTGGCGGGAGCACAGTTCAACCCAGGGCCGATTGCAAGAGCCTGTGAAGTAGCTACAAGCCCAGCCTGCCAAGCCCCCGCTGCCTCTAAACTGCAGCTGCTCCCGCACTCAACACTGCCTCCCAGGGAGCAGCAGTCGCCCTGAGCGATGGCCAAAACGCTGCCACTCCTTAGCTCTGCCAGCTCCTCCCTCCCTCCCAAACGTCCCAGGACCCTAACTTTCCAGCCCCCACCTGTGCTCCAGAGCGGCCTTCTGGTTCAGAGCCGGGCAGACAGGTGCCCACGTGGGCAGGGTCCTGACGCCTCCCACAGCCCCGTGCAAGGTGCTCTTATGGAGACAGTCTCTGGGGAGTGCAGGCCAGGCCGGGGCAGACCTGGGACTGAGCCCCTTGTCTCCCCAGAGAGCTTTTCGGGCAGAGTGTCCTTACCACCGTGCCGACTGCCTCTCGGAAGGCGTCTTCTCTCCTGCACGGCTAGAGCTGCAAGGAAAGGGACAGACCCCGCTTTGGTAAAAGGACAGGGAAGGCCATAAGCAAAGACAGGCTTGTAGTTTATTTTGTATTTTTTTAAATAAATACACTTTACATTAAAGAAAAAGGCCTTTGATTTGTAATTTCCACATTGGGGAGAAAGGAAAGAGGAAAAAAAGATTTTGAAAAACTGAAGGACAAAGAAAACTAGAGGGAGTGAACTCATATCCTAAGTTCCCTCAACTCCACGAACCAGCATCCACACCGCCTGCTGCCCAGCCCAGAGCCGGTGAGTCAGCCTTCCTCCCACCCCTGGCCCAGAGGAGAGCAAGCCAGCCTGACAGCTTGTGAGGCAACAAAACAGGTTAAAAATCATATATTATATTTATAATAAAATAGTCTTCATCCTTATCAATTTAAGAAACCACGATTTTCCTTTCACTTAAATACGTGTAACAATGCCTCCGCACTGTTCTCTAGACGTCATTTTCTTCCGCAGAAAATGCAATGGGACAAGGACCTGGTGGATATAAGTTCATACCCTCAATTATAAATGCTTGGCTTTTTTTTTTCTTTTTAAGTTTTATAAAAAACTATTTCTTGTTCTTTAAGTAAAGAACATTATACAAAGAAAATATATTGTGAAATGACCCCGGAAACAGGTTTTTCCCTAGAGGAAAGGTGTGTCCATCCGAGGAGAAGGGGACAGACTAGGCCTGACCCCTGGGGTCTCGGTGCTGTTCGCTCTGAAGGGCCCTCGGGGCCCAGGGACTCTCCAGGCCACAGTCCTCTGAGTGCGGCCGTGCCGTTCCTTAAGGACACAGCCTGGGAGGGAGGGAGGGAGGAGGGAGGGAGGGAGGGAGGGAGGGAGGGAAGGTGTTGTGAATTCATTTGACTCAGGTTCTCGCCTGCCAAGAATCTTCCACGTGGTGATGCTCCTCACTCATTCAGAGATAAGATGATGTCATCTTCCAGGTCAGAGTTGTCAGAGCTGTCGGCTGCAAGGTAAGCAGAGGGAGAGGCCAGGTCACCCACTGGGCTTCTAGGAGCTTCCAGGAGGAAGCCCCTGCAGTGCACACCTGTGTGTCTGGGACTAATTACCTTTCCAGAAAAAGGAAAAGGCACCAACCACCCCTGGAGCAGGCTCTGGAGGGTCCGCTTCTTGGCCACAGTCCCCCGGGACCTCCTGCTCTCTCACCTCTCAGCCTGAATGTGGCATCCTGAGTGCTAGCGGCTCGTCCTGCCTCAGAGACCCTTAAGGGGCAGGGCTGAGGGGAGCAGTGGGAGCCCCACAGCCCTTGGGCCTCTGGAGTCCTTCAGGGCTAGGCACAGGCCTCTCTGAGCCCAAGCAAGGAGGAGATTTCTCCTTAGCCCCACTTCCCAAAAGAGCTCAAGACAGAGATTATCAGCCTGGGATTTCGTCCCCCGCAGTTTCTCAGTCTAACCCGCAGGGAGCAGACTCCCTAAAGCGGGCAGGCTGCAGCAGCAGCAGGGCCTGGCACCTGTGCCTGGAGGCAGCGGGAGGAGCTGGGATGCCCCGGAGCTGTGTCTGGCTGGCCACAGTGGGAGAGAAGCCTAGTAGCTAACTCCTAACGACTCTGGTTAATTGGCTGAGTGAAGAAGGTAAGGGGAAGGCCTAAGGCCCGTTTTGATTACTCACAGCTATGAAATGGTTTTTAACAAGGGCTCCTGGAGGGTGGACAGACCCTGCCCTATAGCCTCCCAAATGCCCACGGCCCTCAAGTTCCCGCAGGAGGGGACGGCTACTGGGCCCAGATACTGAGAATCGACTTGGAAAAGGAAAAGCTGAGGAAGCGTGTTCCCAAACCTCCCTTCATTCACTACAATCTCCTTTAGGAAGAAAACTGAGGTGGATAAAGTCAAGAAGAGCATGGCCGTGATTCGAGAAAGTCCTGAGAAGCAGCCAGAGAGGTGGCCGGGAACCAGTGTTCCTGGTCGGAAAGGCACAGCGTGGCCTGTTGCAAACGGGCGGGAAGCTCAGAACTAGCAGCTCGTCACTCGGAGGAAGTGCAGCGGGCAGGGCAGGCCTCCCCAGAGCCAAGCTCGTGTCCCAGGTGCCCCTGCTATGGCCACCGCTGCCAGGCCAGCTGCCGGAACCTGCCCTCCCAGCGCACACCTGCGCCTGGCCCGGGACTAAAGCTACTGGAGGAGGATCACGGCCCAGCCCTGAAGCACGTGAGTGTCAGGTGCAGGGCTTGGTGCCCAGGGGCCAGGGCTCCCCCTCTGCCTCCCTCAGCCTTTTAGCACCTCGAAGTGCTCAGAGACCTTGGTCAAGCCTTCTTCGGAAAGGCCCTGAGGCAAAGGCCGTGCAGATGGAAACCATGTTTGCAATATTTAGCCTGTTACTCTATAACACAGGCTTTGGGGGGCAGAACTGACTGGGACAGAGACTTCAGCTAAGGAGTTTGGGTTCTGCATAGAGAATCCAGCACCAGGTGTGGGCCCAGGCCTCTGTAGGGTTGGGTGGGGCTCAAGGTGTGGTTTTCTAGGCTTAATGGCTCCCGTCAGACCCTAAAAGGTTCCACAAGCCCCAAACAATGAAGCTACTGCTCTGAAGGGTCAGAGTGAGGCAAATGGCCAGCAAACCAAGGGCCCAGGGAGTGTGCCCTCTGCTGTACGAGCGGCTGTGGGTGTAAAACAGAGCAATGGCACACACACTGCAGATGCCACCTCGTTGTCACCACCTCAGCTCTGGAGCCCAAGCTAAAACGTCCTTGAGTTGTCATCTATTCGGCATTTCTACATCACAGATCTTCCCGAGTTAAAGTGACATTCTCACTGCTGATAGAACTAAGGTTTTCCAGATGGTTCGGGGCTAGGAAGGAAAGGTTTCCTAAACTAAACAGGAAAAGCTGGAGGAGGCAGTAAATCATAGACCAAGTAGAACTTTGTAGCTTTATATTCCAATTCAGAGAATTAGTGAGGCGCACGGCGGGGGCACACCAGCTGCTCCTTAGCCTACCTCACTGCTTGTAATTGGAGCGAAAGGGAACTGGGGCCTGTGTGTCACTATTCAGATGACAAAGGTCTGATAAAACTTGCCCTGGTATTATCAATACTGTCCCCTGTCCCTTGCCCCTTAGTCTCTCAGTCTCTCTTTCCTGGCTCTCTGACCATGGCTAGGGACAAAGCAAGCTTCCTTCACTGAATCACCTTAACCTCCAGCATGGAGAACATGGAAGCTGGTAAACAGCAGCTGGACAGACAGAAGGCCCTCTCTCCCAGCCCCACAGAGGACGGTGAGAAAGACAGTCTTCCCTCAGCCAGCTGCCTTCAACCTTGAGGACGAGAAGCATGTATGAGATCGCTCTCTCCTGCTCCTGATTATAAAAAACGAAACATCCACTGTAAAGACACTGGCATCTGTTGGGCCTAGGCCAGCACAATACGATTCCCATGGTGATGTAACGTCCTGGGTCCGTGCCCTTCCACGGCAGCTACACCAGGCTCCTGCGCACGTGCAGCGTGGACATGAATGAGGAACTGAGTTTTAAAAACTGCATCACAGTGTCAGTGGTCCCGTGTGGCTAGTGGCTGTGCTGGGTGTAAGGCCCTGGCTGTGGGAAAACTGGCCGGGTTAGCTGCACGGAAACGGTGGCTGTCGCAGGGATTACGCTGTCAGACAGGGACACCTCAGAGATGCTGCCTCCACCCCCCTCCCATCACCTCTGTGAACACTTGGGAGCTGCAGGGCTTGGCAGACCCTGAGAACCATCAACTGGTTCCTCAAGACGCCTTAGCATGTAGTCAGGGACAGTCTGACTTCAGAAACCTTCCTAGTGGGAAACAGCTGGAAATAGGCAAGTTTTTCTTTCTAATTCGGAATGAAGAGGGGGGAGGGAGATAAAAACAGAGAAACCTGTGCCCCCCGGTCTTTCAGGAATAGCGGACAGGAAAGGAAAGGCTCCCCACAAGAGGCGTCTGCTGCTTTAGGAAGGAGCGAGCAGTCCAGCAGGTGCCAGCGGGCCCTGGGGCAGAACTGTGTTCAGGCTTCTGTTCTGAGGCTCACCCTCTAGGCAGCCAGGACCATGACCCCGTGTGTCCGGCTGCTTTCACACAACAGAAGAGTTGAGAAGCTGCAGCAGAGACCATGTGGCCCACAAAGTGAAACATTTACTATCCCGCCTTTACAGAAATCATTTGCCAGCCTCCGTTTTAAAGATGAGAGAGAACAGCTGTTTGGTTACATAGTCTGATGGGAGAGCAGAGGGTCAGAGGTGGGAAAACTGCTTTTCCTCAGGGGCCAGAGGGGGGATGGACAGTTAAGGGACAGAGAACTCCTGGTGTGGCTTCCACACTGGGCGGGGCTGGCACAGGGAAGGCATCTTCCCCTGGAGGCCCAGGCTCAGCCCCATGGTCGTCCTGGACTTACTGTCCCCCAGGATCAGTTCCACTTCCTCGTCTGCATCAGAGTCTTCATCCTCCCCGTCCTCTCCCTCCTCCAGAAGGTTGGCCAGCTCCTCGTCAGAGGGAGAGAAGTCATTGTCCCCATCCTCCCCTGCGTTCTCGTTGTTGTCATCCTCCTCCAACTCCGCCTCCAGCAATTGGTCAGTGTCAAGGTCATCAAGATCATCAGTGTCATCATCGTCTTCATCATCATCTTCTTCCTCCTGCTCCTCCTCCTCCTGGTAAGAGAGCATTAGGTCCATTAGGAGGAAACAGGCCTGGCCAGGGAGTTTGCCCCACTTCCCTAAGGACGGGAGGGAACTGCCAGTGGAGAGAGCGGTCACCTCGGTTAGCACAGACTTCAGGGCCAGCAGACTCATGGTGAGGCAGCCACCAGCATGTACGTGGCCCCCAAGACACCAGACGAGGATGGCTACTTACTCCACGAAGGCACTACCGGTCATGCAGCTCTATCCCAAGAAACAGGAAACTCGCTTTACAGAGGCCTCTGCCACTGACAGTGTGGGCTCCTGGCTAGTACCCCCAAAGGGGCTGGCTCTTCTCGGTCCTGCACCAACCAAACCAAGTGAAATCCGAGGCGGCACTGGAACAAAAGCTTCAACCCCTGGATCTACCTGTTCTTCTACCTAACAACACAGGAAGAACACAGCTGCTGAGCCATCAGCTCCTCAGCCCTTCACGTTCTTGCCAAGGACGCGGGCAGGCCTGGAACAGTGCTATCTAAGCAGCGCCTGAACCAAACAAAGCAGACATTCCCCGTCCAGCCACTCACAGATAACCCATGTTCTGTGCTAGAGAAACTCCTCACTTGCATTCTGCCAGATTTCGACTTTGCACTAGGATCCAGTTTCCCTTCAAGCAAAAGAGGACACAGCGCCTCTTAGCCTCTTAGCTTTGACAGAGGCGACAGGTGTTTCCAAGTAAATGCCATTAACACTCAGGCACTTATCCTCCTGCTCAAATATCAACAGTCAGCTTGGCCGGCAGGAAAAAGATTCTACTTCCTGCAATAATAAAATATAAAATCCATTTACTCCATCAGACAGCTCACCGCATTCTCCCTCCTCCTGCCATCTCCAGACTCTTCAGCTCCCTGCGACCTTATCCCTTCCAGAGGCTCCATGACGCTGCCCATCCGCCAGAATTACAGCAAAGCAGTGACTGCTCACTGACCATCTAATACCAACTTCATAGAATCCCAATTTCTTGTTCAGTGAGGTGACTTAATTAAGTCGGTGGCTCTGCTCAGGTGTAAGCATCAGAATCACCTGGGAAACGTTTTCCAAAACACACATGCCTAAACCACACTCAGGGTCCACAGCGCCAGTCCTTACAAATGAAGCTCACACAGGCGGAGTTGGAAAGGCTCCCCAGGAATGGTGAAATGCCCCTAATGAAGAGCCAGAAGCACAAGATGACCTCTGAGTTGTAAAAATTCTACTTTTCTTAATAATAGGTACCCTACCCACAGACCCCCCCGCCCCCAATGACAGGACCTAAAACGTGAATCCAGGTATTACCACGGACTTTCTCTGCTACATCGAGCTGTCCTGTTCTCTAGGACTTAACGTCATCTTTTAAATCAAAATTCTTCTTGAATATATATCTATTCAAAAGAAACAGCTTTTAGCCTATATTCCCTTCAAAAATATAACCAATCCCTTAGAAAAATCAACGTCTGGTCATACTTTAAGACGTGAATCTAAAAATGAGAATAGCAGAATAACTTCTAAAAATGTAACTCAAACCCAAGCCTACGTTCTTAATTATTTCAACATGTCATATTTTGTAAAACTTAAACTCCTGCTTTTCCTCCTTTTGACATTTGTCCTGGTGTTAATAACTGTCCTTAAAAGCTACAAGTTCATTTCAGTTGTAAATGCTTGTGTTTTCTCACTGACAGAATCTAACGTACATTTTAAACTTTTTAAAAGGAAAAAAAAGGCAGCCTTTCAGGTGCCCCTGGCCAGGCTTACAGCAGGAGTGTGACCCACGAACACGCCCCACCGCTCCTGGCAGTAGGAGCGCTCAGGAAGCACAGCATGCAGTGGTCCCGGGTTCCAAAATGGATGGAGAAAGAGAGTATTAGCCCCTTTTTAATATAAAATTAAGATTATAATTAGTTGAAAAGTATTGGCTTTTCAAAATCTAGGAACAATGATCAGCTACTAATCTTTGATTTTGTAATTTTCCTAAAAGCCAACATCAAAGTTGGATTGAATTGATTTTAAAAAACACAAATACCAAAATTCCAGTGGATAACAGGAGCTTTGATAAGTGGCTGGCTTATCTCTGCTCTATCAAATGCCTGAAGGCCAGCAGCCTAGCAACCGTATGAACCAAAGACTATAGCTATCAAATTTATACAGGCATTTGTGCTGGGCCATTTTATCAGATGGCAGCTGACCAGTCAGGCTTCTGAGTTTACTTTGCTGAGGTGAAAAGGCAAATTCAAAGGTGCTCCTCACAGGTGCCTGCACCCCTAAGCGATTTAAGTCACCTGGGACACCTGAGAAGACCTGCCAGTGATACCCAGACTAGGACAAAACTTTAAATAGCAAATGGCTCATATGAAAATTAAGACTCCCGTTTTAAGATCAGGTGAAGCGCACACAGGAAAGGGGAGAAGTGGTGAGGAGAAGGTGCTGGAGAGAATAAATGCAGCAAAACAACTGCGTGATTCTAGGAGGGCATGTGAGTCAACAGAATTAAGAAAACTTGCTTAAATAGACATGGTCTTGCCCAACTGGCGTGGCTCAGTGGTTGAGTGTCAACCTATGAACCAGGAGGTCACAGTTCAATTCCCAGTCAGAGCACAAGCCTGGATTGCAGCTCGATCCCCAGTAGGGGTGCAGGAGGCAGCCAATCAATGATTCTCTCATCACTGATATTTATCTCCCTCTCCCTCCCCCTATCCCACTAAAACTTCTCTAAATCAAAACACCAAGGACTTAAGGGTGAAATCTGTTTTCAAATGATGTCCTTCCTGTGAAATGGACCTGGTAGCAGTAGGTAGGAAATGTGCCCGGACCCTGTGCGACACAGAAGCAATGCTAACTCACCCCACTGCTCGCCTACCCCCAGCCTAGTCTCCACGCTGGAATGCTCGCAGGCTCCTCCAGACTGGGCCTAAGGCCACTCGTTAGGGCCCTCTGGAGCCTGCTGCTCTTGACCCTCACTGTCCATGCCCAGGACGCTTTCTTTTCCTTCCTGCCTCAGTCACCAGTGGGCAGCGTTTACCAGAGTAGGGGCAGGCTGGAGGAGAGCACTGGCCACCAGGAAGGTGAGCTTCTTAGTGTCCTGCAGTGGCCCCTCTCCCCACCCAGAGCACCTCTGCCCTTAAAGAGACGACAAGCACCACCACAGCGGAAGAAGGAAAACAAAGGGAACCCAAAATCTGGAAAGAAGACCTTTACCAGCCTTACTATCTACAAGAAAGCAAAGCCCTGTCATTTACTTTAAACAGGAAAGATCTGCCGAAAGTCTTTGGAACTGACACTCTGCAGGCAAGCCCCTGGCACATGACCATAAACTAACCCCCTCAGAAAGGAAAAGCTCACATTCCCTGGGGCATCCTACCCACTCAGATTTCATAAATGTTTAATTTCTCAGAAGCACCGAAGTCTTCTCTGTACCTAAAAGCTCTCCTGTTATTCTGAAAGTAGACTGCACCACAGAACTGACGTCGGGAAGTCAGCCAGGGCACTGGTCCTAACTTCCGGTGGCATGCACAGGACCATCGGGTGCTGGTTAATGTTCTGTAATAAAATCTTCCTTCTGACTTTCAGGGATCAAGGGCACATGCCAGGCCTTCGGAATATGCCAACAAGTAGCAAAGGCTGTTCTTTAAAACCCCTGTAGCGAAAAGCAGAAGAGCATGGCCTCTCTAAACATTATGAGAAAGAAACTCAAAAACACTGACCTGGTCCTCCTCCTCGTCCTCGTCCTCTGCCAGGCGCTGCCTGCCCACTTCATACAGCCTGCACACTGTGTCCATGTTGAGAGCATCCATGCTGCTTTGGTTCTGAAACAGAGCACCCAGTTCACAGGGAGTTTTCAGAAAGCCTGCCACACCCCACACCTCGGCTCTGCCTGGCACCCGTGCACCCTGACCCCACAGCTATCAAAGGCCCCAACACCCCAAATTCTTGAACTGACTCTAAAAATGTGATACCTAGAACACAGAGAAGGAATGACAAATAGGACAAGAAGGCTGGGCTAGTGAGGAATATAAACACGAGAGACCACCATGCTTGGAACAAACCTGTCTGGCTCTGGTGAGAGGCAGACACCTCTAAAAAAGTGTGACATGAATCCAAGACAGTAGGAGACAGGACTCTCCACGCTGTTTTATATTAGCATTTTCTTATTCCTCTTATACTGCAGATCTCCCAAACCCCAGCAAATGAGGTTATCAATAACCTCCCCTCAGGAATGCAGCCACTTTATAACATAGCTCACTTCGATCAACATTCCTGTAGTGCAGTGACCCTAAACATCCCAACCAAAGAGCAGGCTTCTGAAGCGCCTTTACCTCGATGACAGCCAGGTAGCAGTCCTTGGTGTCTGTGCACAGGTCGAAGATGTTCCGCTTCACGTCGATGGTTGCTGGAAAACAACGTGACAAGGCTCGGGACTGGACTATTGCTGTGACTTTAAAATCCGCTTTTCCTCTCAAGGAATTCAAGGCGATTGGTCACAAATATTTCCATAACTCCTCTGCTTTTCAATGAAAATTACATCATCAAAATATAACAAAAAATCAAGGTCTGCCCCTTCACGCTTACCTATAGGTTTGTAGTCAGTTGCGTTAAATGTTCGGAAGGATGATCCAAAAGGGCTTTTCATCCTTTCTTCCATTAAGTCATCTTCATCGTCTGCCTGCAGCATAGCTGGTGGGGAGGAAAGGGGGAAAGAGCAGGGGAGGGCAACACTATTAGAATCAAAACATCCCCTATTCACAGGTGTCCTCCTTGTAAATCCCAGCGAACAGCAAACAATATCCTTAACCTTTCGTCTAGCTCCCAACAAGTGGTAACAGGGTGAAGGTGGACAACATCACAAGACAACAGATGCAAAGCTTTTTCTTTAAGTTCATGATACACATGGGAAATCACTGCATGAAATTTCTGTCTATACAAGATTTACTTATCTTCAAAGCCAGTGGCCTCTTACCCTAAATCAATATATTTTTCATCTTCTTTTTGTCATCATTTGTGTATCATTTTATCTTTTATACCACAACTTCCAAATGCTTTCCAATTCACATTTGAGAGCACTTTCCAAAAAGGAAGTATCAAACTAAGTGAGGGGGGAGAGAAGGGAGAAAGAAAATAACAAAGAAAGTAAAAAGTTTATTACCTCCATACATCACTGTCCCCGTGTGGTTGAACACTACTCGGCACTGATCCAGAGCAGGAACTGTATGTAAAAGATGGAAAGTGCGAAGGTCCCACTAGGAGGGGGGTTGTCAAGAAAAACTATTTTATTTTATTTTTTTAAGAAAAGCTACTTTATACAAAACTTATCTAACAACCTGGTGGGAATTCTGAAATACTGCTTCCCGCCCTCCGCACCTCTCCCCCACACTGGTATTGATGTTTTAGAAATCAATGAGATCAGGGTAAAATAAAAGCATGTTATAGAATAATGTCCCTAAAAATCTCCTTCGGTATCCTCACATACATAAAAGCTACGTGAGTTCCCCTCCTCTCAATAGAACTTCATTTTACTCTTACGCCTACCAATTGACTTCTATAGAGCACAAGTAAATCCTTCTGAAGATAGATAAAAGTCACTTCAATACTTGGGAAAACGAAAAGCAGCAATCTGGTCAATTTTCACAACACAAACATGCTAGTGAGAGTCACCGGTGACGTGAGTGCCCTGGAGACGCACTAGCACTGCAAACCAAAGCAGAGGCACCAGAGTGTGACCTGTGTAGATACTTTCAACAGGTATTGACAGGTACTCTCTATCACAAAGAGAAGTGGAAAGTAAGACCCGGGTATAAAGGATACAATCTCAGTATTAATGATGACCTCCAGCCCATTCGGATGGAAAACACCACTGATGTTCATGTTGAACTTGTCGAACTTGTGGATGGCCTGCGCAGAGCGGACATCCCAGAGGACGCCATCATTTAAGACCAGATCATCTGTAGGATTAAAGGTGGCACAGTTCCTCTTGTAGTTGTTGGCAAGATCTGGGTTAAACAGAGTCAACAGCTTGTTGCCAGTCTGAATATCATAAATCTTTAGAGAAGAAGGGGTGGGAAGAGAAAAATCAGACCAATCCATTCATTGACAAATTCAGAGAGAAGTTGTATAAAATATCTTTCCCATGCTTTCCAAAACCCACCAAAATTACAAAAGCCCTGATATTAAAACTGGAAAACAGGAAGACCACAACCATCATAGCCAAGTTTAAGTGCTTTGGTTCCCATTCAAGGTTTGAAGAGTCCTCACAGGGAGGACAATGAGAAGTGTGACTGCAACAGGGAAGAGAAAACCACCTTCTTCCTCCACCCCCTTTCGAGAAACAGAGCGTGTTTCTAAGACTGAAACTGAGAGATTCTCCACATGGATTAACCAGCAATTATCCACAGAGTATCTTAAGGGTAACTTCTTGGGAAAAGGCATTATTAATCAAGTGCCCTTTTCTCCTTAAAATCTCCCAATGTACATACTTTAGCCCTAAATACTAAAAGTTCCAAGTCTACAATGTGCAGCCCATGTAGAGACCAGATCTTTCCCATCAGCTTACAGACATGCTATAATATTTTCAATCTTTTTTTAAAAAATCCTCCTCTAATATTGGAACAAATAAGGAGACACCACAGGAAACAAACAAATCCAGATCATAGGACAAGACAACTAGCCTGGTCTCTTCAAAAGTCAATGTCATGAAAACTGGAGAAATGACTCTTGGCTTTAAAACATTAGTGAGACACAACAACCAAATGCAATATGTGAATCTTGGCTGGATCCTGGTTCCAAAAAAAACATTTGAAACTGAACGTATCAGGAACAATCGGGAAAACTGAGTATGGAATGGATATTTGGATGACATCTGGGAATTACTATGAATTTTCTTAACCTGGATAACAAAGTGTAACTATGTAAGAATGTCCTTATTGTTAGGATATACTAATATATGCTGTAAGACAGGAATAAAACATCATGATATTTGCAACTTACTTTCAAATGATTCAGAAAAAAAACATACATTTACACAGAAATATGGCTAATTATTAAACTGATGAATCTAGGTGACAGGTATATGTACTATTCTTTCAACTCTTCCACATATTTTAACACTTTCAAAAGTTTGGGAGAAATACTTCACCACCCCAAATCCCTCACCTCAAGCTACTACCCACTTCTCTGCTTTGTTTTCAGCAAAACACTTCAAAAGACCTGTCTATACGCAGTGCCATCTGCTTCTCTCCTCTTCTCTCATGAACCCACTCGAATCAGGTTTCTATCCCATGGGAACTTGCAGAGAACTAGCTCCTGACATAGTTAACAATGACCTCCATGTTGTTAAATCAAAGGTCACCTCTCAATTCTCATCGTATGGAACTCGTCAGCAGTTTCTGACCCAGTCCATCCATCCTTTCTTAAAGTCTTCCCTTATCTTCCAGGGCACACCTTTTTCCTGGGGTCTCCTGCTGCCTTACTGGATATCTGCATGGCACCCACACCTCCTTCAAAACACCACTTAAGCACAACAGCTATCCACGAGTAAACACAAGTACTCCACACACTAACCAGCATTCTCTACCGTTTGCCCTGTTTCCTGTTCTTCAGCAACACCTACCTGATACACCACTTATTTGCTTCTTTATTTACTGTCTCCCCAGTGAGTCCCATTAAGGCTGGGACTTTATTTCATCTAAAACTTAGTATTTTAACCAGTTAACTACCATGTATCCAAAACGGAAACCATTCCCACACACCACGATATTTTGAATTTAATTTAAAAAATCAATTTTCAATGAATATTATAAATATATTACAATTCGGGTGTTCTTGAATATTTTTAGCTGAAAATTCTCACAAAAAGTGACTTTAAAGTTGGTCAGAACTGCCACTTAGGGAAAACATTTTTTTATAGACACATGTGGCATGTGGAGAAGGTCCACAGCTTGCATCTACTGGCGCTTATGGCGTACAATGGGTTAAAGTATCTGCTGTACTAAGGACATCTTCTCAACTTGCCAGATGAAGTTCCTGTTCATTCTCTTCACATTTCGCCTGGACAGCTCAGAACTACCTACTTCCTTACACTTGCAGACCCGAACCAGAAAGACTCGCGGAGTAACTGCTAGTTGCCCCAGGACCCTTTAAGTCCTCACACTCAATACAGAAGACTCAGTGCAAACAAAGGCCTAACAGTGTGAAAGCAGAGGGCTCAGGACTTACGTGGGCGATGTCTCCTTTCGTGCCGATGACGCGGTCCTGGGAGTGCTTACTGAACTCCACGTAGTGATCTTCTGTGAAGGAATGCCTGCGGACAGACAGAAGCACTCAGGCGGCCGCCTCAGGACATAATCACTCAACTGACTGAAAAGAAAGGTGATCCTCAGGCTCATGCCCAAGCACACTCACCTGGAGACTGTCACTCCCAGAGAGGAAAGTATCAGACACTTAACATTAAAAAGAAAATTCCCTTCATCCAAGCAGATGCAAAATCATCAATGGGAATTAGTTGATTAAAGGACTTGCTAACAGCCCTGCCGGTTAGGCTCAGTGGAGAGAGCACCAGCCCGCAGACTGAAGGGTCCGGGTTCGATTCAGGTCAAGGACACGTTCCTTAGTAGCAGGTTCCCCATCCCGGGACAGGGTGCAGGAAATAACCAATCAATGTTTCTCTGTCTCTCCCTCTCCCTTTCACTCTTTCTAAAAATCAATGGAGAAATATCCTCGGGTGAGGATTAACAAAAAAACAAAACAAAAAAAGAAATGACTAATAAGGCATATGTGCCTTTGAACTATGTCCCAGCAAAGTGTGCAGCTGTCACATGTCAATGGGAGAAAATAAATGGTCTGCCATTTTGTTTTTGTTTTGTTTTGAATATATTTTATTAACTTTTTTACAGAGAGGAAGGGAGAGGGATAGAAAATTAGAAACATCGATGAGAGAGAAACATCAATCAGCTGCCTCCTGCACACCCCCAACTGGGGATGTGCCCACAAGCAAGGTACATGCCCTTGACCGGAATCGAACCTGGGACCCTTGAGCCCGCAGGCCAACGCTCTATCCACTGAGCCAACCCGGTTAGGGTTGATCTGCCATTTTGGATCAGGGAAGGATCTGCTGTGTGATGGGAATGTATATTCCTAGTCAGCATATCTAGGAATTAACAAAGTTAAAACCTTATCTTATTAAACGTGAGCCACAGATGAGGAAGAGAGAAACTAACAATAACTCACAGCATTTCTCTTTTCCCAAAGGCTCTAAAATCGGATGAAGGGGGTTTAAATAGGTAAACTATAAACACAGAGACTAGGTTGTACAAGTAGATACATACTTCATATCAAACACTGACTTCATTCCCCAAAGTGCAGACAGAGGCTGGCTCCACGTAGCGGATGTCAGCAGCAAGGACCCGTCCTGAAAGAAGAAGGAGGCCCAACTTGGGGTTCACTGTCTGAATTTGCATCAGCATTTTAAAACGCAATCTTAAAAATATAGATGGATTATAAAGAAAAATGCCAGGAACCAAGAAGTGGTCTGAAAGTGTGAGAATATATGTACATGCATCCTAAAAGTTACCTGCATTTAAGATAACACTAAGTCCTACTGAGCTAGTAATATAAAATACAATAGCTAAGGTAAGAGGGGGAAACTTGGAAAGAGACCAAGATGGTTCCTCGTTTATTAATATTTGACCATATTCCTCATCCTTGAAATATCAGTGAACTGAAAACATTTGCTACACTTTCTAGCCAGGACCCTTAAAGGTTTTTCAAAGAGAAAACTCAATAAAGGGTAAGCCTCCTTTACTCTAAAATCAGGAAAATTATTCTGTCACCCTAATAGTCCTGACTTTTAGGAATAGTAAAGGTATCAATTCCATCCACAAAATAGTTCTAATAAACTATGACCCACTGGAATCATATGATGCTTATTTTCCTAAAATTCACAGTAATTTGAGATTTCGGACATAAAAAGTTTTATGTTCACAGTTGGTAATCT